AACCATCATCATTTGAAGTTGAACATCCTAATTGAACTTGAACGGTGGTTAAGCATATTAATATCAAATAATGATTAGTTAGGGTAAATAATTACATATCACCAAGTCAACCCAACTTACACGTGTCACCTCCACAGTTCCGTACATCATATCTGAATTCTTCAAAATAAACTCATTTCGCTTTTTAACCTTTAAAAAAAATTTAAGGGTTACCATTAAGTAGTGAAAAAAAAATAAAGAATAACGTTATCTAACATCATTGATATTACAATATTAGTTTAATTGATGCTAAGTAATATGCTGAAATAATGATAGAATTAAGTAACTTATTTAATTGTACCATATTAATGCTACCTAAATTGATATTTTAACATCGATAATGTTAAATAACATTACCTAAAAATAAAAAATTCCAAAATGCAGTGACAATAAATCGTGACATTGACAATCGAGAATGCCTCCTCTTGGCCCGTGGCTCACTCAATATTGCTTGAGCCATCATCTTTTGCTCGACGGAACCAATGAGTTCATCTATCTAAATATTCTACCTAGTTCCCTTCATATTATGAGCATGTCGAGCCAACATATGTACCTCCTTATTCTCAGAGCTCCCGACAAGAGAGAGAACTAAATTTTGAAGGTTGGTCAATTTCAATTTAGCAGTTTCAATAATATCTCCGATGCTTAAAAGATTTTCTCCATCATATTTTTATGAACTCGCCTGGTTATGGACCCGAATGCTCTTCTGCATCAGAGCGACCCTGTCGGGGCGATCCAACCACCTTACGTTCAAGTTTGATCTATTAGGTCTTTCAATTTGTTCAAAAAAGAAACGAGGGAACTTTTAATTTTTTTCCCCAAATGACAACAAATGAGACTTTATTTAAGAGGGTGTTTGACATCCATTTTGTTGAAAAAATGAATTTTAGAGTAGTAAATTGGTGGAGAATGTATAGATAAAAAATAAAGAAAAAGTTTTTTATTTACATATAATATTATTTTAATGAAAAATGTGTTGTTAAAAAAAGTGAGAGAAAAATGTATTTTAATAAAAATGGGAATCAAACGGGGTCTAACTTGGACGGTTACGTCCAAGGGTGAAAATTGTTGGGTGTCATTTGGACCGGGGAGGACTTTAGTCTACAAAGAAATAAACTATCAATTTTGCTAGTTGTACAATCGGGGTTGACAATCCCTCACCTATGAGGGGGCCCATGATAAATAAAAAAATTGTGCCCCCCAATTTGAAGGAGTTGTCAATTTTAAATGTACACATAACACGCTCAATGAACTATGGTTTTAGAAAAGTTGCCCTTCAGGGCATAAGTCAGTGGTACAAAGGATAAGAGTGGGGTAGTCTCAATCTTACTGGCAGTCGTATTGTGAGGGTTTGATTCCTGATATATGAAATTGGACTCTTTGTGAGCACCAGTATACAGGCAAGTTCTTGTTCCCTGACCTGCTGACGTACATCCAACGATTTACCCCACTCACGATACTCTAGGAATAGGACGGTGAGAACCCTTAAGGTTGGGATTCAACCTTTAGTTTCTAGAAAAGCAATGGACAATAAATATTAATTTAAAATTGAGAATCAAACAAAATATTTTATCAAAATTCGTCAGTATTGAAATTGCATCAACGTAACTCGTTCTGAGTGCAACTGTACTGCATTGTTGGGATTGTCGGCGTGTTTTTTTGAAGCAGAAGTATTAAGTTTTTTTTTATTTTTATTTTTATCAGATAACTTCTTTAATTGATTTTATTTCAACTCATACTCATAATAAGAAATTTTCGTCGTTGGCAAAATTGAACAATAATAAATGTATTTGTAAATCAATCATTAGTGATGGTATTCATATTTTATTTGATTCTTTGTGAATGATTAAATGATTTGGTGGCTTGTGAAATGAGATTATTGTCAAGAATGCAACCAAAATATGTACCCTTTTATCATTTTGTTCTTTACATTTAGTTTATGTTTGGTATAGTTTAAATTAATAAAATTTTAGTTAAAATTAATAATTATTTTGAATTACACATTTATATTTAGCACTTAATTTTATTATTCTAAAAAAATATTTATTATTTTTCCTATATTTCATTTTCACTATCTGCCCTCCAAATTATTATATTACTTTTTTCATTGAAAGTTGAAATATTTTAATTATAGAGAGTGAGTTTGGCTTTCTAAATTTGAAAAGTCAGACTCATTCTTTAAATTAAAATATTAATTTAAAAAGTTTTTTTTAGCATAATTTTCAAGATTGACTCTTTGAAATAAAGAGAATTTTATGTTTAAAAGAGTCTATTGAAAATACTCTCTTTTAAGCAAAGTCAAATGAATTCGAAGAAAGTAAATATTAAAAACTCGTGATCTCTTACATTTAGACCTCCTTTTTGGTTTTCATAAAAATCTCATTTTAACTAGATTTTCGTCAAAGTTGTTGCAGCGTGTGGTAGAAAAGTTGTGGGTTCCATAAAATGATGTGATTAAAATAAGTTGTTGATTTTGACTTACATTTTAATCAATTTTTTTAGTTGAACCAAACATGGGCAATATCATATGGCACTTTGAGGTCGACCTAATACAACCTTAAAGCGAAGCTTGAGTCACAAGAAGTTTGAGATTAGAGTTTGATACTCACACGAAGAAATACAAATAAGCTAACAATGACATAGCTCGAACAAAACTTTTAGATGGGTAAAAATGTAGAATTGAGCTAGAAATACACTTTTGATCACGGTAAGTCTTTCTGCAGCCACTTTTGTACGTGGAAAGGAAAAAGACATTTTTGACCTAAACATTAAGTTGTACTATAGCCTAGTTCTGAAATAAGAGGGTCCATCCTTAAAAAAAATAAAAAAAGGTTGAATCTCAACCTTAAGAGTCCCCCATCGCTCCTGCCCCGGAGTATCGTGAGAGAGGTAAATCGCAGGTTATGCCTCCAAAGGTATAGGGTGGAAGGCTGCTTGTACACTTGCACTTACCGAAGAGCCAAATCCATATTTTAGAAGATGTTATAATTTTTTAAAACAATATAATATTTATAAAAATAAGTTAATACGCATTTTGACATCTTGAAAGTGTCTTATAATTCTATCATTATCAATATTGTTAAATGAATTTTGCTACATGTATAGTTTTATTTACCATATCATTTATGAATTTTGAGTTAACGACGAATAAATCAAATTGGATGTAAGAAGTAAATGAAATTTAAGTTTAACGAAAAAATAATATTAAAGTAATTCAAATAACATTTAATCCATAACGATTTTAGAATTTATGACATCATTTTTAATGTAAAATTTCCTAATAAAATGATGTAAATAATAATGAAAAATTTATCGTGAAAAAATAATAAACGTTAATGAAATAATTGATTTTTTTTAAAAAGACGAGTTAAACAAACGCCTCTTTTAATACGTACGTCTGACTCATATTTAACTATTTTCGATATTTATTTGTACCATTCGATGTGACTACGATGTAGTTTTCGAAACGAACTTCTAGATGATGCAAGCAAATTTTAAAAATTAGCATATTATCGAAATTTTCGAAATACTAATTTGAAACTGCCTACTTTGATGTATCGTAACTTTTGCTATAGTTGATCATTTAGCACACCATTAAGAAGCAAAAAACTAGGCCATGAGGGCTTAGGAATGATATTAAGAATGCAATATTTCGATTTCATTTGATATGTATTAAAATGGATTAAAAACGAGTTAAAATAACCATTTTCTGAAGAAGATAATAAAATAAAATAAAATAACCAAAATTTTGTGGGTGACCTCATGTGGGTCCGTCATCACTGGGCGAGAGAATGTCTTAAGTATGAAACTATGCCCCTGTTTGGCCCTCATTCTCTTTCATTTTTTTCCTCACTCTTTTTTCAACTACATAATCTTTCATAAAATAATATTACACGTAAATCGAATTTTTTTTATTTTTTTCAACCACATTCTTCAAAAAACATTAAAATTTGAAAAAAGAATGGGAACCAAACGGGGCTATATTTTAAACTTAAATTAATATCACATTACCATAATTCTTAGCAATAATTAATCACCAAGAATTCTGTCTATTTTGGAATAACATTTTATCAGTATTAACTAAATGATCCTAATTACTCTTCGAGATAGAGTAAAAATGGAGAAGATTCTCGAAGGCAAAAAGATATTGTGTCTTTGACCGTCGAACCGAAGAATCCTTTAGAGATGATTCATTAGAGGTTTCAAATTCATTCTCTTTCTCATTCACTCTATTAATGCACCTTCTTCTATATTCTTTGATCCATATCTTGATCGAGAAACGCGAGATAACTCTCTTTAAGAAATTTGAAAAAATAGCTTGTAACTTCGACTTAACTTTTGAATAGTATTTATGTTTAGTTTTGCACATAACTTATCAGTTTCGAATTTACTTTACTCAGTGCACTTATGTAGTACACAAAGCAATTTCTTGTTTAGTTGTGTCCAACTGTTGGGTACTATTCATCAAGCATATTCTACGAACTTGTTTGGCTTCCTCTTTCATTTTTTTTGTTCCCTTTTTTTTTTTTTTGGCTCTGAACTAATTTATTTTTAAGGAGAAAACTAAATTTTTTCAAGGTAACTTTGTCTTACTAAAAAGTAATGTACTAATTTTTAATTTTCTTTTGTAAATAAATTCTTTTTTACTTTATTATACTTATAAAGTTCTATATATTGGGACTTTAAAAATTCCAGTTTTTCCACCAAATAAATATCTGTCTTTGAACCCCACAAACTGCTGTGTTCATTATTATTTTTACAAACCTTTTTGATAAGACATTAGCAAATTAATTCTCCCTTCTTCACATCCGTAAAAAAAGAAAAAATAATAATAATTTCATATAAATAATGACTTAGCTATCATATTAATTATCCTTAATTACAATCTTAAATATGTGTGACCTCCTTTTTTAAAGGTACTTCCAATTAATTTGATTTCCCTATTGCCATCTCTCTCTCTCTCTCTCTCTCTCTCTCTCTCTCTCACTAAAACTTATTTTTCTGCTGACATTTTCCTGCCAGCATTGCATTTCGTTTTCACATGGGCAGGCATTCTTGTTGTTACAAGCAGAAGTTAAGGAAAGGCCTGTGGTCTCCTGAAGAAGATGAAAAACTTATAAAGCACATAACTAAATATGGACATGGATGTTGGAGTTCTGTCCCAAAACTAGCTGGTAATAACCTTATTTTTCATCGATTTTTTTACAAAATGTTAATGTTTCTGATCACATTGTTGTGTGATAATCTTGAAGGGCTTCAACGGTGTGGAAAGAGCTGCAGATTAAGGTGGATTAATTATTTAAGGCCTGATTTGAAACGAGGGACTTTTTCACTGGAGGAAGAGAATTTGATTATTGAATTGCATGCAGTTCTTGGAAACAGGTATGTAATTGTGTTATCCAGCAGTTTTTTGCATGTTTAATCGCGTATTGTTGTGATCTTGAAGCTGTTAAATTTCATTACCAGGTGGTCACAAATTGCTGCACAATTGCCTGGAAGAACTGATAATGAAATCAAGAATCTTTGGAACTCCTCCATAAAGAAGAAACTTAGGCAAAGAGGCATTGACCCTAATACTCATAAGCCAATTTCTGAGGTTGAAAATGAAGAAAAGGCATCTCCAAGCAGCAAAAACAATGAGAAAGCATCTGAAGGAATCAGTGAACTGACTCTCGTAGATTCGGGAAATTCGAGAAAAATAAATTCATCCCTGGATCATTATCCACTTATACAAAACAATTCCAGTAATTTGGCACCAACTCATGAATTTTTCATGAATAAGTTTGTTGCCAGCCATGAAAGCTCCACCACTGATAATAAGCCTTCAGATTTATCTGAGTATGTCTCCTTCCAGCAATTGAATTATAGTCCTAATAATATAGGGCTTTCAATGAATCCCAACACCTCGAATTTGCTCTTTAATCCGAATTCCAAGTCATCAGGGATAGAATCTGAGTTCAATTCTTGTGTAACAAATACTGTTCTTCCTTCCCTTCCAAGCTCGTTTCTTTCATTTTCTACTCGTTTGAAGTCTTCGACAAGTCTTCCCCCGGATAGTCCTATAGGCCTTTTAAGTACAAAATTCCAGAATTGGGATGGCTGCAGCCTTGGTAACAATGGAAGTACAATCAATGTAACTAGCAGCAACAGCAGCATCTTTGCCCATGTTCCTTCATCAGAACATGAAATCCCTGAAGATATGAAGTGGTCAGAATATCTTCACACTCCACTCATACTAGGAAATAATCTTCAGAATCAAAGTGCTCAAGATTTATTCGGCGAGACAAAATCAAGAACACAAGTTTCAACAGAAGGTTCATTGACTTCTACTTCCAATTGGCATCAAAACCAGCAGCTGCAAAATTTACAAGCTGCAGATATGTCAGCCAGCATTTTCAGAGGCTTCCTTCCACCTGTGGACAATTTTCTTAGTTTATTACATTAATCATCAAGTCTTCTTCTACCTGTAAATAGGGAGTACTGATACCAATATTTTTCCACAGATAAACACGTTTCCTATTTCAATTCTTGTTCATGTTTTGTGTAAGGTTTATCAGTTATTCTAGAATATATAAGTCTTGTTAAATTGTTCTCTATTTATTCTTATGAATTTAATTACAGCTTGTAAAAATCCTGTGTTAATTGTTTGTTCAGTCGTATTTTTTATTTTTTCCTTTTTCGAACGTTTGCAACCACCTTAATCTCTCCAGGTTCCTCCCGTAAAATTCCTTTCCAGACAGTGACTATCTGTAACCTGTCTGAAACATTTTGGGTTTTGGGAAATTCTTTTACTAGACTTTTAACATTAGCCCTATTCTTACACAAGATTCATTAAACCATTTCCCTTAAATGGGCGTCCATCACTGTCTCCTATAGATTGAGATTGTTTTCACTTTTTACAGTATTCAAGTCACCTGTCCTTAGGCCAAATATTCATCAAGATGATAATCATACTTGTCTCCTAAGTTTTGCCTCGTGAAGCGTGACGTGAGCATACGTACGCATAGTTACAATAGAAATTCAAAAAATCCCACAATAGTCAAGTTAAATCTTGATAAGAATCAAGGGAAATTAAAAAGGATTTCCAAAGAAACCCTAAGTTGATTAGGATTGTCTCTTTACTGTGCGAATTGAAATAAAGGTCCAAAACGGATGCAACTTTTTGTGTGTGGACACTAATGACAGAGCTTCTGGGGTATAACTTTACTACTTCTAGGGGGGGACACAAGATTAGGGTCCCCTATATATGGTGGAAACATATTGATGTTGATACTTTTATGAGATAACAAATGAAAATTCCATGTTTGAATTGTGCTGGAGAGGAAGAGGCCTCATTGGGAGAATTTGCTAACCCCCCACCCCCATCTTTTGTTTCTTTCTTAGAGGGTGTTTGGAAGTCATTTTTACGTAAAAATTCATTTTTGAATAATAAAATGATGAAAAATGTGTGGTTGAAAAATAAGGAAAAGTTTTTTATTTGCGTATAATATTATTTTAATAAAAAATGTGTGATTGAAAAGAATAGAGAGAAAAATACATTTTCAAAAAAATGGGTACCAAGCGGGAACTTAGAAATTTCTTTTCCCATATAAAGAACCAAAAGATAGACATAGTTGAACATATAGAAAAAATGACCAACCTGCATGTGTAAGAGTCAATGTCAATCAATTATTTTGAGATAAAGGTTTTCATCCATACGTCAATCTTAGTTGACACCCATTATTCATATATAAAGGTTAAACCCTAATCTTGAGAGTCCCCACCGTCTCGTCCCTAAAGTTTTGTGAGGAAGGTAAATCGCAGGATGTGTTCCCGCAGATCAGGGAACAAGAGCTGCCTGTACACTACGCCTACAAAGAATCCAAATCTATGTTTCAGGAATCGAATTCTTACACTGTGGTTGTCAGCAAGTCGTGAGATAACCTCACTCATATCCTTTGCACAACTGAACTATGCCGCAGGGGACCCCGTTATTCATATATACCAATATGAGAGATAGAATGTGAGATAAAACTAATTTAAAGATAGTATTTATATCCTTTCTTGTATCAAAAAATGACAATCAAATTTCAATAATGCCAATACAATTCAATTATAGAAAGCTGATTTGAAAAATCAACAAATTAAATTAAATTACAAGAAGTGTATGTCGGGGTGGGGTATTAAAACCAGAGTCTCTTTTTTTTTTGTGTGTGTGTGTGTGTGTCCACGAGCAAGCACAAGAATGAATGCTTCACAAATTAATTGAATATGTTTTATTTCTCCTTTTCTTGAAAGCATAGGTGATACGTGCGTAATTTATAATTTATTGATGCTTCTATGGCTGCATGTGATTCAAATTATTGTGGACCTTTTCATGGCCCTACAATCTTCTTCTAATCAAAACAAAACAAAAATAGAGAGGCGTTGAATTGGCAACCATTCTTGAGTTGTTTTGAATATAAAAGGAGATTATAAAATGAAAATTTTCAATTACAATTCATAGTGTTTAGAGATTAAAAAAGGGGGAAAATCTTTGATACGTAATATTTGATGCTAAGTTAATAAAGTTGGATGAGATAATGATTAGATCAAAACAACGGTATAAATTCTACACATTTCAGAATTTTATACCCTAATGTTCATGTACAAATTTCGTATACTTACAAAGATGTCAAGATTTCATGACTCGTGTCTTGTTGTATCTCTATCATTCCAATATCAATACTTGCGTGTAGTCTCTTATTAATTTATTTTCTTCAAATAAAGTCGAGAAATGGAATATAGATTAAATAAGTAAATGAAGAAATATAGGATAATTTTTAGTTACAATTCATACTATATTGAGATTAAAATGGAAATTTCGAAGCCCCCAAATTGTGCCCTCATTTATAAGTAGTCACTTTGTTACCATTGACTCATGTTATTTGATGACAAGCTAATAAAATTGAATGAAATATAACTGGACCGAACCAAAAGTATAAATTCTGTTACTTTCAAAAAACTTCACCCTAGTGTCATGTAACACTATCTTATGCCTTCTACCTTTATTATCCTAGTGTGACTCAAAAGTCAAACTTTTAGGGGGTGCACTAGAGTTCATCATTTATGTTATTAATAGAATAAAGCCCCCTGTCCCGGCTTGGGGACTGGGTTGAAGACAAGGGCGCCACATGAAGCTTAGCCGACACCCCCTCCAATAGGGGGACGCCACCCTATTCCCAAGTCGGGACAGGGAGCAAGGTTGTTATTAATAACAAAGCAAAAGTAAATCAAACATGCTAGAAATACAATACCTTATACAACTTGCCACGGAAGCCGCCACTTGGCCACCTTGTCAATCAAGTTGTACAAAGTATTGTACAAATAGAATAATTCAAAGTAAATTATTTCAAGTACACTTAAACTATAGATTAAAAGAAAGAAGTTGACAATAAGCATCAAATTGAATAATCCATTGCCAAGAGTAATGAACAAAATTAAGCCATTTCATTTAGACCTGTGAAAAGATTCTGGGAGGCTGCTAACAGAAGAGAACAAGAACAAGGACATTAATCCCACAAATAATCCTCAATAAAATCATCATATTGTCCCCAAAAGATTCCCATTGGATTTTCTCTGATTTTCAACATTTTTTTATATCAGGTTATGAACATAGACATTGATTCCTCAACAGAAGACTTGTAATTGGACATTTGACTTTAAAGGGAATAAGCTTTAAACTATTCATAGTACAACCATGATTAACATAAAAATTAATTTGATTCCTTGTCTGAGGCATGCAGTATCAAGAAGACTCTTCCCTCTAATCATTTTTGAGTCTTGCACTAGAGTTCATCATTTATGTTATTAATAGAATAAAGCCCCCTGTCCCGGCTTGGGGACTGGGTTGAAGACAAGGGCGCCACATGAAGCTTGGCCGACACCCCCTCCAATAGGGGGACGCCACCCTATTCCCAAGTCGGGACAGGGAGCAAGGTTGTTATTAATAACAAAGCAAAAGTAAATCAAACATGCTAGAAATACAATACCTTATACAACTTGCCACGGAAGCCGCCACTTGGCCACCTTGTCAATCAAGTTGTACAAAGTATTGTACAAATAGAATAATTCAAAGTAAATTATTTCAAGTACACTTAAACTATAGATTAAAAGAAAGAAGTTGACAATAAGCATCAAATTGAATAATCCATTGCCAAGAGTAATGAACAAAATTAAGCCATTTCATTTAGACCTGTGAAAAGATTCTGGGAGGCTGCTAACAGAAGAGAACAAGAACAAGGACATTAATCCCACAAATAATCCTCAATAAAATCATCATATTGTCCCCAAAAGATTCCCATTGGATTTTCTCTGATTTTCAACATTTTTTTATATCAGGTTATGAACATAGACATTGATTCCTCAACAGAAGACTTGTAATTGGACATTTGACTTTAAAGGGAATAAGCTTTAAACTATTCATAGTACAACCATGATTAACATAAAAATTAATTTGATTCCTTGTCTGAGGCATGCAGTATCAAGAAGACTCTTCCCTCTAATCATTTTTGAGTCTACTTGCACATGCCAGAACCTTGAGACAAGGTCAAATTCATAGTGCAGGGAAACAAGAAAAAGGGTTATACTAAGGGCATGATTGGTGCTTCGTATTTGACGACTAAACAGGATAAAGAAAGGAACATATGATAGAATATCTAATTCTGTTAAGTTCAACATACCAAACATATCATACGAGCATTCAGCACTGCTGAATAAACAAATGCACACATTTTGTATTCTCAAAATATGCATGATCACTGCTAACAGTCTGAATGAATGTCGATCCTCAGATTCCGATGGTTCTTTATCAAAAATTTAGTACAGCTCAACAGTAAAAAGAACATATCAAAATAATTGAACGCTCGGCACCAGGCCGTAAATCTTGATTCCTGACTTTCCTTTTTTTTTTTTTGTCTTACAGAGTGCGTACATATGGAGTACATCAAAGACTCGAAAATTTTAAATCAATTGTAGACTTATTTTCATCAATGTATTTACTTAAATTATAAATAAATTGAAGATGACGATTGCTCATCATGATGATTAAATTAATTAGCTAAGAATAGAAGGCCAAAACTAAAACCCGGTTCATCTGAAAACCAGATTGTGATCCCCAAAAGATTCCCATTAGATTTTCTCTGATTTTCAACATTTTTTTATATCAGGTTATGAACATAGAAATTGATTCCTCAACAGAAGACTTGTAATTGGACATTTGACTTTAAAGGGAATAAGCTTTAAACTATTCGTAGTACAACCATGATTAACATAAAAATTAATTTGATTCCTTGTCTGAGGCATGCAGTATCAAGAAGACTCTTCCCTCTAATCATTTTTGAGTCTACTTGCACATGCCAGAACCTTGAGACAAGGTCAAATTCATAGTGCAGGGAAACAAGAAAAAGGGTTATACTAAGGGCATGATTGGTGCTTCGTATTTGACGACTAAACAGGATAAAGAAAGGAACATATGATAGAATATCTAATCCTGTTGAGTTCAACATACCAAACATATCATACAAGCATTCAGCACTACTGAATAAACAAGTGCACACATTTTGTATTCTCAAAATATGCATGATCACTGCTGACAGTCTGAATGAATGTCGATCCTCAGATTCCGATGGTTCTTTATCAAAAATTTAGTACAGCTCAACAGTAAAAAGAACATATCAAAATAATTGAACGCTCGGCACTAGGTTGTAAATCTTGATTCCTGACTTTCCTTTTTTTTTTTCTATCTTACAGAGTGCGTACATATGGAGTACATCAAAGACTCGAAAATTTTAAAGCAATTGTAGACTTATTTTCATCAATGTATTTACTTAAATTATAAATAAATTGAAGATGAAGATTGCTCATCATGATGATTAAATTAATTAGCTAAGAATAGAAGGCCAAAACTAAAACCCGGTTCATCTGAAAACCAGATTGTGACAAGTTTTGTCACATGGATATGCGCAGTCAATGGCCTTGATACTTGCTCTGTCAAAGTACCAATCTCCGACAGCTATTGCAACAGCCTGCATTGTAGCATAGTTAAAGACGCATGTTAATGAAAGAAATCCATAGCATAAAATATACTTAAAGAGAGACAGCAGAAGAGATGATAGTTTCTAGTTTCTACGAGTGTGCATTCATTACAAAAAAGAAGAGATCGAGAAGGGAGGCTGAGAAAAAGGATCCATATTTCCCGTTTCAATTGTTTCATAAAAGGAAACTCTGACTCTATTCTACATTACTTTTACATTGGTTCCCTCTCAGACAACTTGTTAATGAATACAGCACAAATGAGTACGTATGATGCTCACATAATAACTTTCTCTGGTCCATGAATTGTCGAGAGTATAAAAACTTGTTCTACATTTAACATCCACAGGCCTTTCTGTGTAGAAAAGAAAAAAATCCACAGGACTTTCTATCACTAGAGCACACCTGGAAATGCCATGTTGGTTTAGCTTAATAGCAGCCCTATAAAGGATTTCACGACAATTATATCAACTTAAAGAGAACTACGCACGTTACAACCTGTTTCTTTATAAGCAGGACTAAGAATATAGGAGTTCTATATATGTGTGAGTGCATGAAAACCTAAAAGGAAATTAATGCTCATGGTTATACCTTGTTCCCAATTACTGGAGAATCATCCGCAAACCAGGTATCCTGCCTCTCGGACTGGCAGTGAGCAAAGCATGAATTTAGGAATAACCCATTTTGTCTAGATTTGGCAAAGCCTTTTACTGCATTCATCATATGAGCCCTAAAACCTGCTTAACAACAGTTTTTATCGATCGATTCATTCTCCTTGGATATGAATACAAGATTAAGAAATATCAAGCAGATACAGTCACTCACCTTGCAGAAATTGGATTTGGGATGATGAACATCGTGCATTGTTCATTTTACAGTCGTGCCAATTACCACGAGGATCAGCTACCGAAGGAGCCAAGCTTTCTTGGACCTAAATAAGAAATAAAAACAGAGATTTAATTTACTACATTTGTTATTCATATTATTAGCAAGTCTTTGATTTCTTAACGATCGAATCTAATCTAGTAAGAGGCCCCCATTGATTAGAACAGAAAATTGCGGAACTAAGCCCACCCCAAAACGAGTGCTCTCCTATTTGCACTTCCCCAGAGCTCTACCAATACAGTTGTCAGTCATATTATTTTACAAGTACCTAATCTACGCGATTGAAAGCTGTTAAACCTCTACTGTATTTCCAAGATAAACTGAAATAAATTATTACCTGCCATGAATCATAAGCAGCATTGAGAATGAACAGAGGGGTTCTGACGTTGGCAATTAAATTCTGAGGGAAGAAGCACTATACACAAAAAAAAGATATGAAATCGTAAATGGCTAATTGCTAAACTAGAAAAACATAGTAAGAATTTCATTATCTTCTCAACCAAAAACAACAAAAAAATAGTCTCACCGAAGTTGGATCCAGATGATTGGTACAAGTGCTTGGCAGATTCCTCTGGACACCCTATTAAAATTTGTGGGAACTTGAAGCATTAATTTGAGGTGTCATGTCTAGTACAAATTGTTTCAAATTTCAAACATGTTGAGGGGCGCTGTTGGAAACTTGCTGGATAAAAGTGTGATTTTAAAAGGAGAAAAAAACTACATCCTATTGCGACAAACTTCAGCGTTTAGAAAAGGAAATGTTCAAGTGGGATAGATATAAGGACTGGAAAAGAGAGCACTATCAGTGACCCTCTCACATTGTTTAGCCAAAGGTTTTATGCTCTGTTGAATTCCAAAAACTGTTATTTTTCCTATTCATATCACCTTTGGTCCAAAACCACAACCGACCCTTAGTTTACTTTTGTCCATTCCGCTTATTTTCCTAGGAATTCCAAATTCTTCAGTTAATTCTTTGGTTCAATGCATAATAATTAATTTTTGGACTCTTTATCAAAAAGTATAATTACCCAAACTGTCTCTAGTTTGTTGTGTTCTTCTCAAACTGCAAAAACACACATCAAAATGAACTTGCATCGCCCATCGACTGTTTCTCTCTTTTATCCATCCTATATTTTCTATTCCACAAATTGCCTACTTGAGCATAACCTTTTGCATGTTGGACGCAACCAAGAATATAGGAGTTCTATATTTGTGTGTGTGCATGAAAACCTAAAAGGAAATTCATACTCATGGTTATACCTTGTTCCCAATTACTGGAGAATCATCCGCAAACCAGGTATCCTGCCTCTCGGACTGGCAGTGAGCAAAGCATGAATTTAGGAATAGCCCATTTTGTCTAGATTTCGCAAAGCCTTTTACTGCATTCATCATATGAGCCCTAAAACCTGCTCAACAACAGTTTTTATTGATCGATTCATTCTCCTTGGATATGAAAACAAGATTAAGAAATATCAAGCAGATACAGTCACTCACCTTGCAGAAATTGGATTTGGGATGCTGAACATCGTGCATTGTTCATTTTACAGTCGTGCCAATTACCACGAGGATCAGCTATCGGAGGAGCCAAGCTTTCTTGGACCTAAATAAGAAATAAAAACAGAGATTTAATTTACTACATTTGTTATTCATATTATTAGCAAGTCTTTGATTTCTTAACGATCGAAGACTAATAATTAAAACTCCATCTGATTTCTAAATGTTTTCTGAAGGTCCAGTCTTCCTCAGTACGAATCTAATCTAGTAAGAGCCCCCCATTGATTAGAACAGAAAATTGCGGAACTAAGCCCACCCCAAAACGAGTGCTCTCTTATTTGCACTTCCCCAGAGCTCTACCAATACAGTTGTCAGTCATATTTTTTTACAAGTACCTAATCTACGCGATTGAAAGCTGTTAAACTTCTACTGTATTTCCAAGATAAACTGAAATAAATTATTACCTGCCATGAATCATAAGCAGCATTGAGAATGAACAGAGGGGTTCTGACGTTGGCAATTAAATTCTGAGGGAAGAAGCACTATACACAAAAAAAGATATGAAATCGTAAATGGCTAATTGCTAAAATAGAAAAACATAGTAAGAATTTCATTATCTTCTTAACCAAAAACAACAAAAAAATAGTCTCACCGAAGTTGGATCCAGATGATTGGTACAAGTGCTTGGCAGATTCCTCTGGACACCCTATTAAAATTTGTGGGAACTTGAAGCATTAATTTGAGGTGTCATGTCTAGTACAAATTGTTTCAAATTTCAAACATGTTGAGGGGCGCTGTTGGAAACTTGCTGGATAAAAGTGTGATTTTAAAAGGAGAAAAAAACTACATCCTATTGCGACAAACTTCAGCGTTTAGAAAAGGAAATGTTCAAGTGGGATAGATATAAGGACTGGAAAAGAGAGCACTATCAGTGACCCTCTCACATTGTTTAGCCAAAGGTTTTATGCTCTGTTGAATTCCAAAAACTGTTATTTTTCCTATTCATATCACCTTTGGTCCAAAACCACAACCGACCCTTAGTTTACTTTTGTCCATTCCGCTTATTTTCCTAGGAATTCCAAATTCTTCAGTTAATTCTTTGGTTCAATGCATAATAATTAATTTTTGGACTCTTTATCAAAAAGTATAATTACCCAAACTGTCTCTAGTTTGTTGTGTTCTTCTCAAACTGCAAAAACACACATCAAAATGAACTTGCATCGCCCATCGACTGTTTCTCTCTTTTATCCATCCTATATTTTCTATTCCACAAATTGCCTACTTGAGCATAACCTTTTGCATGTTGGACGCAACACCAGAACTGCATCTTAGTACTCGGAGGAACAATTTAAAATAGGTGCACATAATGTCAAGAGATAAGGAATAAAGCAGAGCTGTAGAGGGCTACAAGTTCACTAAAAACTTTAGGATACAGCAGTCCTTAGATAAACTGATTGCAAATGCATTTACAATAGAGAAAAGAAAAATATCGATAATTTATGCAATAAGACAACATCAACTTTCCGTGAGGGTTTGAAATTTAGTAGTAATGCATCATTTCTTTGATAAATTTGCAAAGTATCACAATATCATTACCAATGTATCAAATTAGTGCCCAAACCTAACCTATAAAATTACATGTAGGACTATCAGAATAGGGCAACGTGCCACGGCAGGTACATAGGGAAAACAATATTTTTGTTTCAATAAGTACCTGTAAGCTTACTACACCAGCAAAGAAATTTCTAATCGTGTGTCCACCAGATACATCAATGCTGAAAATCAAAGGAAGAATTATAAAATAATACTAAAAGGCAGAGTTATGGATCATATAACTGCACAACTTAAACAGGGCATAACTAAAAAGACAGAATTGGAAAATTACACGTCCATAAATAATCCAGCATCACTCAAGCACTTCACTTTGGTTCTTCCTGGAATGTGATATTAAAAGGAGAAAAAAACTACATCCTATTGCGACAAACTTCAGCGTTTAGAAAAGGAAATGTTCGAGTGGGATAGATATAAGGACTGGAAAAGAGAGCACTATCAGTGACCCTCTGACATTGTTTAGCCAAAGATTTTATGCTCTGTTGAATTCCAAAAACTGTTATTTTTCCTATTCATGTCACCTTTGGTCCAAAACCACAACCGACCCTTAGTTTACTTTTGTCCATTCCGCTTATCTTCCTAGGAATTCCAAATTCTTCAGTTAATTCTTTGGTTCAATGCATAATAATTAATTTTTAGATGCTTTATCAAAAAGCATAACTACCCAAACTGTCTCTAGTTTGTTTGTTCTTCTCAAACTGCAAAAACACACATCAAAATGAACTTGCATCGCCCATCTACTGTTTCTCTCTTTTATCCATCCTATATTTTCTATTCCACAAATTGCCTACTTGAGCATAACCTTTTGCATGTTGGACGCAACACCAGAACTGCATCTTAGTACTCGGAGGAACAATTTAAAATAGGTGCACATAATGTCAAGAGATAAGGAATAAAGCAGAGCTGTAGAGGGCTACAAGTTCACTAAAAACTTTAGGATACAGCAGTTCTTAGATAAACTGATTGCAAATGCATTTACAATAGAGAAAAGAAAAATATCGATAATTTATGTAATAAGACAACAACTTTCCGCGAGGGTTTGAAATTTAGTAGTAATGCATCATTTCTTTGATAAATTTGCGAAGTATCACAATATCATTACCAATGTATCAAATTAGTGCCCAAACCTAACCTATAAAATTACATGTAGGACTATCAGAATAGGGCAACATGCCACAGCAGGTACACAGGGAAAACAATATTTTTGTTTCAATAAGTACCTGTAAGCTTACTACACCGGCAAAGAAATTTCTAATCGTGTGTCCACCAGATACATCAATGCTGAAAATCAAAGGAAGAATTATAAAATAATACTAAAAGCAGAGTTATGGATCATATAACTGCACAACTTAAACAGGGAATAACTAAAAAGACAGAATTGGAAAATTACACGTCCATAAATAATCCAGCATCACTCAAGCACTTCACTTTGGTTCTTCCTGGAAATAGATTCCGAAACTTATCACAGTGTAAGATAGAAGCTAGACCACCAGCAGAGCATCCAGAGAGCAAGGCCTGAAACAAGGCACGTATCAAAGGGAATACAACACATGAACCACAAGTGTCACAAGATGAAGTTTCTTGATTAATAAAACTGTCACTAGGCGTTGAAATCTCAGCATGACAGAGTCTATAAACAAATATGATATAAAACTATATTGAGAATTCGAGATAGCAAAAACTTCAATGAGACTCCATTCAAGAAAATTACACAGAGCTTATTTTCAGAAGATTTTGTGGAATTTTTCAGAGAAGAAACGTATCCTTGAACTTAAAACAACCAAAAGGCCTAAATATTTTAAGGTGGAGGATGTTTACCACTAGTTCTTTTCATTAATAAAACGTATCCTTGAACTTAAAACAACCACTAGTTTATTAGGTTTCTAGTCTCTACTAGTTTTACTAGCATTGAAATTTGAATTCCATAACTAGTTTCCTTTTATCTTGATTGTACTTTGATACTATATCTTTTCCTCACTTCTTCGGAATGACATTCTGTAGAATTTTGCACAAACAAAGACAGAAGCATTACTTATGCGAGGGGACTTTCATGCTTAGTGTACAAAGTGCTATACACTAAACATGGCTCTAAGCCCCCATTTATTAGCAATATTTCACTCCAAAAAATCAATTTTTTTATCATTATTTCACTATTCTAACGGTTATTTTTTATTTATTCACTCAAATATTTGTAACGGCAAAGTTGACCATGAGAAGACATGGATTCAGCGTCGTTAACAGAATTTTCAGAAGTTTCTTTGCAAATTGACCTGGATTTTCTTGAGCCTTGTTGCTAAGTATCCCTGTAAATGGAATTATCTTCTCAAAATATGTCGACGACCCACGGCGTGTCTTTTTCCGGTAAACACAGGATCTAATACTGTTACACCACCCTCCACCCTGCCACAAGTGTCACAAGATGAAGTTTCTTGATTAATAAAACTGTCACTAGGCGTTGAAATCTCAGCATGACAGAGTCTATAAACAAATATAATATAAAACTATATTGAGAATTCGAGATAGCAAAAACTTCAATGAGACTCCATTCAAGAAAATTACACAGAGCTTATTTTCAGAAGATTTTGTGGATGTCTTTTTAATACAGTCAACATACAAGTAAAAGCTAGTGTATGTCAGTGCTGCAACCAGTTGACGAAATGTTATGCAGTGCTGAATAAGTTATAGGAATAATTTTGATTTCGATGAACCAACCCAATTTGTCAGTTACAAACAACAAACAATAATGAAGAAATGAAAAATAGAATAGGGTTATTCTCCTTGTCCAGCAATGTACAAGGTTACAGCCCCCTCACATGAGGGGAGCCATGTTGGTTGTGGGGCCCTCTCTTGCGAGGGGACTTTCATGCTTAGTGTACAAAGTGCTATACACTAAACATGGCTCTAAGCCCCCACTTATTAGCAATATTTCACTCCAAAAAATCAATTTTTTTATCATTATTTCACTATTCTAACGGTTATTTTTTATTTATTCACTCACGTGTGGAAACCACTTTTCTCTCTAACGGTCAAAAAATCAATTCTCATAATCACTACCGAGGAGGCCCTAAATTAAATTGTCGTGTTCAATCATTACTTTTAAACTTCTTAGATGTTACAATTCTAGAGAGTCATAAATTTATCTAGATCTTAACAGTTCCTTTTCTTAAATGATGGATAATCCTAAAAAAAAAAAAAAAAAAAAAAATAGCTTATATTCAAATGCAATTGAATTATTGAGAATTTCCCATTTCCACAGGCTTCACACTTGAAGTATTGGGGATCTACGAATTCAAATTAACTGCCATTTAATAATTACGTGGACCATCCACTGGTGAGATTTAAGAACCCAATAATGTCAACAGCCTAACATCCATGTTTTTATGTTTCCGTATATTAATGAATCACTGTTTAATATTCACCCAAATAATGGATCCTAAACGTTCGAAAAGCGAACAAAAGAACTAAGTAAATGCTATCATTCACATAATTGTCTCTCAAATTAACCTCCAACTGAATGAGCCAGCTGCTTGATCCAGTCCCGAACCCGCGATGGAAGTGGTAGCCAGGTAAAGTTCCATCCAAACATACTGCAAAAAGGAAACAGAAAGAGCCGCAAAAATAAAAATAAAAACAATTTGACAGAACAGGAAAAGTGGAAGACAAAATACAAGATTTAAACTCCAGTAGTACAAGGGGAAAAAATAAAGAAAAATAAGTGGATCGAAAAATCCCAAACCAATGACATAACGATAAAAAAGCATTGATTAAATTAGAACGTTAATCAATACAATGACACTGAAAAACTGGAAAAAAAAATTGGGAAAAAACCAAAATGCTAGAATCTAGGAAGAGAAGTGAATACCAGCGCCTTTAGCAGCAGCTCCTTGAACAAGTGTAAGACCAACCATGAGAGCATTAGGAGGGGCTGCTGCAGCTGAAACTCCATACACGGACTCCAACAAGGACATGGATTCCACGAATGACACTTCTGTTCTATTATCGAAAAACTCATCGAATTCAAAGCTTTTAACAACCCATTTGCTTAGGAAAAACCCAACAAAAATTACACTCCAAAATCCCATAAACTTCCCCATGGCCTCCCAGTTTCAAGCTCCGCAACCGAATCTATGAAAGGGGAAAAAAAATCAAATCAAAAGAAGGTTGTTTAAAGTAAATATTTTGATTATTTATTCTCTCATGAATGCGTGGAAAGGATACTTATAGATACAATGTTGTTGTTTTAAACGGTAAGTAATAAGATCTAATCTAATTATCTAAATCAGGAAAGGATGAACAAAACTTAACAAATATATGGTAAGGGACGTAGATTTTGTAAATCTGATTATGCTTGGGAGTAGAGATTTCTTTGAAGTAGGATTTGAGTTATTCTACTTTTTATTTGAAGATTTGAGGTGATTTCACCTTTTAGGAGGTGACCTGGTGAACAGTAGTGTGTTTTGCCGGGCATTTTAAAGATTTCATCTGCACATGCCTTGTATTTTTGGGTTTGGCGCGGGGTGGGATGCGTGGGGGGTCTGCCTTCACGTTAATTCAATTATTATTACAAGTTGAAAAAGGTGGATCTTAAGCATTTTTGTCGTGTTTTATGAAATCTCGATTTTAGGTGCATGTAATTTTTCCGAATTAGTTAGTTAATACTCTATGGTTTCCTATACAAGTGCATAATAGTTGATAATAAATTGTGAATTGAAATATAAGGACGCAAACGTACCTTCTATAACAACAACTAGTTAATTAGAATTTACAATTTTAACTATTTGAGAAACATGTCTTTGGCTCATGTTTATAGATTATTTATTATTATTTATTAGAGTTTTGCTATTTTACCAGGGCAGAACCCTTATCGACACTCCCACCCGATCGTCCTGCATGGGACCCACCTGTATAATAAGTTACCCCAAAAACCCATCAACGCCCCTGTTTCGAGTATTTGGTAGGGTTCATATATCTCAAGCTCAACTCTATTTATTAATACTTAAATCAATTTTATTTATAAGTTACGATAGATCCAAAATTATTACTCACTTATTCATAATTTATTTTTGTATATTTAATGGGTGTTTAATAGACATTTTTATGTAAAAATGCATTTTAAAATAGTAAATTGATGTGAAATGTGTGGTTAAAAAATAAGGAAAAGTTTTTAACAAGCAACTTAAAGCTTACAAGTCCCGACTCAAGTCATCTTAAGTTGATCGATGCAAAAAATCGAACTAATAACTTTAATAAAGAAAAATACCTATTAAGTAGACCTTAGTTGTTAGGATGACGATGTAATCGTACTTTTCAAAACTTTAATTGAATTATGTTGTTTTTTACTTGTCGAGTTTTGTACCAGCTTCTACTACCTATACCGCAATTGAAGCATCGAAAGGAGAATTTGGTGTCTTTCTGGTCAGTAATGGAAGCAATTGTCCCTATCGTTGTAAAATATCATGCATTATTGGAATTATTGGTCTCCTATTATTTTACCATTTTTATAGGATTGATTTGTAAGCCATATTGATATCAAGAGATGATATACGTGTTTTAGTCCAAATTATAAATCATACGAAGACCGATATGAAATGGAGATACAACGCTATGATATATATATATATATATATATAATAGAAATTCATTTCAGTCTACTAGAGAGAAATTGTTAAATTCTTTAGAAACATCAATTGAATACTATCAATTACGTCATTATTTAAATTAAAGTGGATAAGTATTCGTGAAGTCGAAGTGTTAGTGCTTAATCTTATTGAAGTTTGTTTGTCCAAAGTTCAAACAATATTTCTGCTTATTTTAGTTAAAAATAAAATAATTTGTGCAATTAAATTTGTTTGATTAAATTTAGAAATAAGTTATTTTAATTATAATTGCACGATATTACTTGTGGTTTCAAGTTGATAATACACCATTTTTATATTTGAAAGGACAAAAAATAATAATAAATCCGAACAATATTTAGTTAGATTTTCCTTTATATCCAAACACGGCACAGAGTTACATGCTGATACAGTATTGTTTAAACACCAGTATGAAATGGAGATACAACGCTATGATATCATTGTATATTGCTTGATTGTTTTAGATGTGTTTTTCATTCTTCATAACTTTCATAGAAATATATAACAAATTAATAAATAATAGAAATTCATTTCAGTCTACTCGAAAGAAATTGTTAAATACTTTAGAAACATCAATTGAATACTATCAATTACGCCATTATTTGAATTAAAGTGGATAAATATTCGTGAAGTCGAAGTGTTAGTGCTTAATCTTATTGAAGTTTGTTTGTCCAAAGTTCAAACAATATTTCTGCTTATTTTAGTTAAAAATAAAATAATTTGTGCAATTAAATCTGTTTGATTAAATTTAGAAATAAGTTATTTTAATTATAATTGCACGATATTACTTGTGGTTCAAGTTGATAATACACCATTTTTATATTTGAAAAGGACAAAAAAAATTAATAAAGAAAAAAGCCTAATGTACAGGCCCTACATTCACAGGGCCTGTACAGACCCCCTCACATGCTGTGTGAAGGGGTGGGGGATTATTTAAAAAAAAAAAAAAAATTACCCACCCTTCCTTGTATTCAGTCTGGCCTGTACAGGCCAGCAAAGTCCAATAATAAATCCGAACAATATTTAGTTAGATTTTCCTTTATATCCAAACACGGCACAGAGTTACATGCTGATACAGTATTGTTTTGTTTCATTCCTTGAATTCTCGATTTACTGAAATTTTGCCCTGCCGACAGATGCAAAGCCAAAAGGATGCACGGCCACAGAATTCATAATTGTGACTGCTCAAAAACAAACAAAACCGTCTCTTTTTCATGCCACTTGATGCATTTTGAGTTGTGAACGAGAAACGCATTAAGAAATAGCACATGAATATATACTCGTGTATTGTCTACTTTCCATAAAATACCTCTCAAACATATTTTAAATCGAGTAAACGTAGACATTTCAAATTTTAAGGAATAGCCCCACCTTATCTAAGCAGTGAACCAAACCAGCTCAGAAGCTACGAGACATTTTAATCTTGTCAACGATAACAACATAGAGGGCTGCTTCATATCCAGAGCCACATGAAACTTGGATTTCAACCAAACTAGCTCAAAAGTTGTGGAATGTGTCAATTTCATCGATGATAACAATATAGATGGCTACTTCATATCCAGGGCCACATGTGGCTCTGGACAAGCAACCATATTCTACAACCTACAATAGACCGACATGGACAACACCAAAAGGACACAAGTTTAGAAATAAAAATAAAAATTGAACTATATTCTTAAAATATAAATTATATTATCGATTCAACGTGTCAAACAAAAATTCTATATCTAGACCTCTATCTAGATATTATCTATTTTTATTGGTTGTCACGTCTATTTGACACAGTCCTATCAATTTTTATTGGAGAGTTATTTTAAATATCATCTATTTTTCCTCATGTGAAAAACATGGACAACACCAAAAGGACACAAGTTTAGAAATAAAAATAAAAATTGAACTATATTCTTAAAATATAAATTATATTATCGATTCAACGTGTCAAACAAAAATTCTATATCTAGACCTCTATCTAGATATTATCTATTTTTATTGGTTGTCACGTCTATTTGACACAGTCCTATCAATTTTTATTGGAGAGTTATTTTAAATATCATCTATTTTTCCTCATGTGAAAATTTTTTAAAGCAATATGCAACTATATTGAAGACGTTCAATATGACTATTGACAGCTAATTGAATTTATCGAATGAATTCGAGATTTGAGGCTTAACTTACATATTGGAGCCCAATTTTGAAATTTCGACTTGGCTATCCTATTCTTGAAATTTGACATCTCACTATAATTTAGAATTATTCCACAATTTCACAATGAATCAAAATTTTGTTTATATTTTACTAAAAGTTTGAGACCTAAAATTTGTAGTGAGGTATTTCATTAACAAAAAAAATAAAAATAAAAAAAAATAATAATAATAATTTATTTAATTGAAATTTTGTATTTCACCATGCAAAAAAAATCAAAATTCGTTTGTATCTCACTAAATTCGTATGAGGTTTGGGGAAGAAATTTTGCGCTTCTTTTTTATGTTTTATACTTTTTTTACTTTGCCTCCCGCTCCACCCGCTCCCACAACCCCCACCTTTTTTGTTTATTCAAATTTTAAGGGTAAGATTGTCTTCTTTCGTACCTTTTTAACAAAGTAAATGATTGGAAATCAAGTCGAAAGAATTGTTTGTGCAAAAAAATGATCAGTTCGAGGGCTCAAATGTCAAAAGTTAGACGATAAAAACAATTCGTACAAACGAAAGGAACATCTTGGGCTTATTACCCGCAGGTAAAATTACAATAATTCTATTTGTACAAAATTTTATTACAAAGTTGGTTGACAAAAGATGTGTTGGCAAAATCCAGGCCATTGATTTTAAATGATTTAAAAATCTGTTTTTGAAATAATTAGTGTGAATGTTATTTTATCAACCTACTTTATAAACCATATTTGTAAGTGTAGCACAACTTGTAAAATTATGTTACATTAATTAAAACAGGGTTAATTTCACAAACGATCACTGAACTTACAGAAAAATTACAAAACAGTCACTGAAGTTTAAAACTTTTAGTAACGGTCACTTAAGTATTGTGACGCTTTCAAAAACGGTTACTGAAGTTTAAAAAGTTTTTGAAACGGTCACTGAAATTGAAAAACACTTTTTTTAGTTTTTTTTGTTACATTTGCGACAATTTTTCGGTTACTTCCAACCATTGATACCATCAAATTTTGATACCGTTGAAAAGCCCATAACGTCCTCTTCAATTATCACTCAAAATCTCTCCGTAACACCAATGAATTCGACCGGAAAATCACTGCAACAGTCACCCTAAAAAATTTGAAAATCTGCCTAGATTTTCAGATTTTTGGGCAACTTTTACGGCAATTTTCTAACAACTTTCGACCATCAAAACAGCTGAATTTTGATACCGTTGAAAAGCTCACAACATCATCTTCAATTACCATCCAAAATCTCCCCCAAACTCCAAAGAATTCAGCCGGAATAAACCCGCAAAGTCGGCATCCCAAAAAGGCGAAAATTTGGGATGCCAACTTTGTGAGATTATTCCGACCGAATCCTTTGGAATTTTGGGGAGATTTTGTATTTTAATTAAAGAGGATATTGTGGGCTTTCCAACGGTATCAAAATTTGGCTATTTTGGTGGTCGAAAGTTGTCAAAAAATCGCCTCAAAAGTCCACCGAAAATCTGAAAATTTGGATAGATTTTTGCCTTTTTGGGTAGCCAATTTTGTGGGTTTATTCCGACCGAATCCTTTAAAGTTTGGGGGAGATTTTTTTGTTGTAATTGAAGAGGACATTGTAGGTTTTCCAATAGTATCAAAATCCAGTGGTATCAGTGGTCGGAAGTGGTCGAAAAATTACCGC